CTTGTTTCCTAATGTAGAATATTTTGTTGTATTCTTTTACTAATATACCCTTATTAAATTTTCTCCACTTAATATGCAAACTTTTTGAAAATTCAAATTCTTTATTAATTCCAACAATAATTTAGTTTTACACACTGAAAATTAAATAGGGATAAACTATGAAAGATTTTGGTAAAAATTAATTTTTCAATGACATTAAATATGCTTTCTTAATCCGTGTGAAAAACTAAACAAACCTATATAATTGAGATGAAGGGAGTATTAATTTTTTTTAAGAAAAAGGCGAGCAAAAAATAGTTTTAGACTTGGGACTACTAAACAATCTTGGAATGCGCAATCTCCTAGATAAAGTAAGCACTCATTTGACAGGACTTCAGCTTCTTATAAAAGAGTTTTGAATTTTCTGATGAAACTAACTTATGAGTGTGTTTGGTAGGGATTTTTAGGGGAAGAATTGATTTTTGAATAGTGATATGATGAGAAATCTGTGGTTGAAAAAGAAGAAAAAAGTATTGATGTGATGGAAAATATTATTTTATTGAAGAATGTGTGGTTGTATTGATGTGATGGAAAATATTATTTAATAGAAGAATGTGTGGGTGAATATGAGAATTGATTTACTGTACAATATGAATATCTGTACCAAACAGGCCCTATATTAGTTTCTTCTGAAAGCACTTCTAAAAAGTTATTTAAAATGTTCAAAAACTTATTTTAGAAGTAATTTTGACTTTTTAAAAGACACGGCTTAAGTTGAATTGCGAACCTCTCGATCGGAAATAGAAATGAATTCAAACAGTAGAATGTCCTGCTTTTAAGATTTTCCTATACATGCTAACATGATTTTATTATTATAATTATTATTTATTTTTAACAAAACTCGCATAAAAATAAATGAATACACAAAAATATCTCCCAGAAAATATTGAAGATAAAAAATCGAACTTCAATCATGGGATTCTTTTACCATAGGAAGAAATACTAAGAAAGCGAAGAAACAATAAAAAATGGGAGCCAGAAGGGGTTCGAACTAGACTTGAGCTCCGGGGACCAAGACAAGACATTCGAGTATTATGAATGGGAGTGACCACTTTTGTGACAGAAATGTTTGTATATAATTCACATTTTCTAACTTTAGCTACGCATTTAAAGTCACGAGATTGTAAGGTCACCATCAAGTAAGTTTCAATAATACTACCATCTCGGTTCTTAACTGCATAAATTATGCGAAACACTCTCCAGGGTCCAGGTTTTATGTACACAGAATCGAATATACCACATGGTTTGTAAAGAAAGCTCTTCCTTACCCTTCCTGACCAGGTTTTCGGTCGGTAAAAGAAAAATAGGGTTGATAGAACTTGATCTGATTAGTTAGTATCCCAAATAATGGATTCCAAGTAGGTCGTGTAATGGTTGAATCCACAAGAACATAAAGATCAAATTTTCATTCTACAGTGTATAAAACAAGCTGTTTAGCAACATGGCATTACAAGTTTCCTGGAAGTATAAAGGTACAAGTTCGTCAAGTATTCTTCTGTATACAAACATTTTACGACCACTTTCGTTGTTCTAAGATTACATCTATAAGCATAAACTACCCTAAATATGCTATACGTAAACAACATGAAGCATGAAAATATACTGCCTTTTATGTTTTGTTTGGTAAGGTGGGTTGGACTGGAGTGTACAAAACATCGTTAAAGAAGAATAAACGCAATTTTTTGTCCACTGTACTATCCGGTGATGTCAACTACAGTGTGCACTTGGTTACTCTGCTGGAGATGCAGATGACAACAACCTATCCATTAAGCCTTCGAAGCATTTTTCTGCACTTCCCACATTGTGTGCATTGGCTTGACAATCAATGGTTGGAGGCTGGCAATTTGTTTCCCAGGTAGCCATCATTTTGCCACATCCACCTATTCTATCGGCCAGTGTAGACGAACCAGCCAAGCATAGCAAATCTTCCTCACCAGTAGACTGAATCCCACAATCTCCTTCCGTAAAAGTATTGATATTATTGCACTGTTTTTGCAAGGGGGAAGCTGCCAATTCATTGTCAATCTTTCCTCTAAGATCCAACAAAAGACCCCTCAGCCTCAAAATTTCAGTTTCAAGACTAGCCTGCCTTTGTAGTTTCTTGATGAGTTGCTGGTTCGCAATTCTCAATTTCTTAACTTCCTCTTCCAAATAGGCCGTGTGCGCCTTTTTCTTCTCTCTATACTTCCTAACCGCTTCTCTATTTCCCAACGCCCTACGAGGTTTCGACCTGGGACTTGATCTATCATGCGGGGTGTTGTCTTGTTCAGATGGAAAGACATGAGTGTGAGTGTGGTAGCATGTGTGAGTGTGTGCAGCATCAGGTCCTGGAGGATTGCAAGTGTGAGTGTGGGTACATGTTTGGGAATTTCTCAGTAAATCATCAAGAAATGAATCCATAGAAAGTGATCCATGAACATTAGTAGACGAATCCACTGAGAGCTCTACCTCTCCATCATCAATTTTGTCTTGCATGTCTTAAGGATACTAATCTACTCAGCACTCCTAAAACCCTCTTGCACACTGAAATTTTCTTGTTTTACTTCCCAAAAATTCACAAAATCAAGGGAAGGAAAAATCCTTTTGCTTACTCAAGACTAATTTATCCTAAACCCCCAACTAATCACCAATCTTTTCAATCAAGAAATAGATGATACATACTCAAAAATTTCATTCCAGCATATATGCAAACAGATCATAGCCATAAGAGCAGAACTTTAGGTGTTCCCACAGCATAAATTCAACGTAGCTTCACCAAACCCCATAAAATTCCATAACCTACAAAACAACAAACAAGCCAATATCAATCATCAGAGAAAAAGCAACTTTCTTGAGCAATAACTGAAAATTCCATATTGAAATTGTTTACAGGAAGATAAAAGTCAATCAAGAAGAGGATCTTATGCTTCAAATCTTTCCAAGTGGAGAAGAGCATCAGAATTTACGTGGGGCAAGGATAGATGACAAAAAATAGACATGCCTGAAAAAAACGAAAACAAAAACACAAAAAGAACATATAGAGTAAGTAGGTGGTTCCAATATTTCTTTCCTTGTATAAGATTATACCTGATTTTTGGTTAGAATCAGCGACCACAGAACAAATCTTTGAGACCTCTGTTGCCCTTTTTTGTATGAGAACCGATAAGCATTGGACACATTTTTCTGTGATCTTATCTGTTTGAGCACAAAAGGTCAACCCCTGTCGAAAGTTGACCACGCAGAGTTGGACTAGTGACCCAGGTGTCATTTTTCCTGGGCTCGAGCTAGAATCTTGTACTACCCAAATCCAGACACACTCTTCTGCTCCCCTATGTTTTTTAATTTCTTAAAAAGTCGAAGCAGATGTCTTCCATTCAAAATAAAAGGTTTAAATTGATTAGTCATCTATTTAATCCAAATTTTGTCTTCAATTCAAAACAAAATAAAATTGTTTAATAGTCTCACTCCTATAACGACTAGACTATAATATCTCAATCTCACTCGATGTACTACTGCAGCGTGCTATCCTTACCTATTATCTCGTTCGAATTTCCCTCTCAGTACTATTCGCCACTCGCATGAAGAACTCCAAGCCACGTTTGTGACTGCATTTTTTATAGTTGTCAAACTTATCTTCCTCACAAGTTCACACAAGGTTGACACAAGCTGACAAACTGTAGAAAATTTAACAGGAAAAGAAAATTTATATTTATACAAAAGTTAAGAGTAACACAAGGGACCCTGGTTAGGATTGTCATTCAACATACGGCATATGAACATAAAGATCAACACAATCCTCGAAATATTTGGAGAAACACCCAAAAATCTTTCTTATTTGATCAAAACCAACACCTCATATTCGTGACACAATCCAGCGTATAAAGCAGCATTGATTCTAACGGTTCTAATGCCAGCCAAAATAAGGAAAAAGAAAGCAATTAAAGAATTACATTTAGCCGAGAACCGTGTCTAAAAATGGAAATAAGAAGCAACAGAAGGGAAAAAATTATATGCATGTTTGATTGTATCTCATCTTTTATACCCATACTCAAGTGTATTCCATCCTTGGATAAATGTTGTATGATTGTATCTAAACTGGCCTCAAGAAATTCTAATATCTAGTACCTTGAATGAGAGATAAATTTCTATTCAGAAACTGGAAAAAAAAAACAAATAAATTCTACACATGATAATTATGTGCGTACAACATATTACAGAATCTATATGATCTTATGAACTATAGCAAAGGTCATTTGAACAAGTCGATTCCCTTTCAAGTAGAGGTTTGGAACGAGAACTCAACCAACTCCACAGAGAGAACCTGGAGCCATGGAATTGTACCCTTACTGATTTTCTAGACATTTCTCTTCTAAATTCCAAGTCCATGACAACATCATAATTGACATAATCCGGGTCATCGAATGCAACGAAACCGTTTGACTCGAGGTTTCTGATCCAAGGGTCATGATACTTGTACACCGGGGTGGGTCATCAAGCAGGGGGAATGCAACAGAGCCATCTGACTTAAGGTTTCTGATCCAATGGTTATGCTATTTGTACACTGGGATGGACACCTCGGTATACAGTCTCCCTCACAAGAGGGGGCCACGATTTTTTTTATTGATTGTGGACCCCCTCTTGTGAGGGGGCTTGTACACCGGGGTGTCAACCCCGGTTTACAAATAACATTTTCCCTTCTCCAACCACGTGGTAGAAAATTCACAACCTATCAATATAAACAACATATAACAGTGTACAAATAGCATTTCCCCTGGTCCAACCATGTAGTAGAAAATTCACAACCTGTCAATATAAACAGCATATAATAGAACATAATGAAGACGAAAAGGCCAGCAAAGAGCCCCTAAGTTCATTAACAATCATATTGAGTTTAAACTTTAGCTCTTCGCATTTTCAGAGGTTCACCGTGTCAAGAAGATACAAAATTTTAATACACTAAAATGAAGAGGACCATGTTATTTCTTCTATTTATGTATATGAAAGAAAAAAATTCCACTTTCCTAGAATCTCATAATGTGGTTTTTAGACACCATGTTAATAAACCAAAAACCCTAAAGTTTGATTCAGCATACCATATATCAACAAACCTAATTATCTCCTAACGAATCTCCGATGCTTTTCCACAAGATTCTCTTGTTAAATGCTTAATGGTAAACTAGTCCCACCTGAAAGTTGGAAAGGCGTGTAATACATGATGCTTCACAGACATGCCAAAATGGTGCTTAATTCAATATGACAATTCAAAGAAATTAACAAAAAAAATTCTCTTCCAACCATTAAGTCGCTTCATGATTTTCTGCACTTCGTGACCCTAAGATTAACTGTTCTGGGACTTTGAATAAGCCAGCTAATTTTAACCAAAAATCAAGCAAGGGCCACACAAATTAAAAGATGAAGACAATACATGTTCATACCAGGCTAAGTGTTAGCCATAGCATGTTCAGAAATGTTTATAAACGGTTTAAATTATAAATAGAGAGAAATGAGTGGTAGATAAACGAGTAATACTAGCGGATTCCTCGAAAGTGTCTTGAGTGGTAATAAACAGAGTAACGTGATAATTGATAACATACATGAAGCAGGTTAAATCATTTCAAATCTTAATGGAAGAGAGATGTATCAATCAAAGATAAGGAAAGATAAGATTAGAGTACCCCATTTCTTCCTATTCTACAGCGCCGTACACATTAGTCTCATCTCTGATCTCCCTAATCAGCATTGTACAAAGGATTCCAACCACCAAAGTGAATGAATGAATGCTCATTCAGCCTCAACCCTCTAGAAGACTTGGACTACTTTCGGTATCATACTAATTAATAATATACAATAAGAGAGCAACATCCCATTATCGATCCACTCTCTCTCCCCGAAAGCCCTTGTTTGGCCCACATTAATATTTTCATTCTCATTCTTCTACTCATTTTCAACCACACATTCTTCAATAAAATAATATTTTCTATCACATCAATAATTTTTCCTTTTTTTCAACCACATATTCCACATTTATCACATCAAAAAAATGCATTCTTCTACCTAAAATGTGCACCAAACATGGGCTAAGCCATATCTTTTACCATAGTTATCTAACATTTTCCAGAGTTCAACTCAAAAATAATTACAACTCTAGCTTTACTTCAGATATTTAATTATTGGTCGAAAGAACTTAAATTTCTGGTTTCTTCTCAATTGTAATACAATTAGTAGATTGCATATGGTTTTTCTTGCCATAAGAAACATGATATGCTGCTTGTTTAGCATCAACAATTTCTTCCTTATCACAGGAATCATGGTATGCTGCATGTTTATGCATCAAGAATTCTATCAAGTACTTGGATTACATCCACACATAATACCATTTAGGATAACTCAAACTCAATTGTAGCTAGCTTATTGTCATGGACTTAGTTTTGTTTCCTCCAACAAACTAGAACCGTGCGGCATTAACGTTTCACAAATCCCGATCCACGAGATAACGTTAAGTTAGCCTTTCAACACCTACGAGAATTTAACCTTTGAGGCTAAATTATGGTTTACTTGAGTAGAGGATGAAATTATAAGGAAAGGAACAAGACAATAGTTTGAGAGAATCTTGTATTAATGAAAGGAAAAACTTTACGGTCTCTCAGGATTTATCTCACTTCACTCTATCATAACGGCCAATTGGTTCACTTGCCTTTGCATGGCAGAAATGGAATCCAAGACTTTGGCCTGGAGATGGCCAAAATCTTTTGCCAATGCAGCCTGTCCAGCCATCGCGGTCTGAGCATCATCCTTTACGGCATGGACATCATTCTCCAACGATGTTTGTACATCAATCACCTTTTGGACATTGCTTTGGAGAGTTTCTAACTTTCCAATGGCATGACCTTCCAACACCTCAAAGGAATGCTCAAGAGATTCGACCCAATCACCCATGTTCAAGATGATCTAATCGAGCTTTCCTTCCGTGGCGAAGCTTCCCAGGCTTTGCTTCGTGTCCTTCTACAGGGCCAGCACCACAACCCCTCTCCACTACCTCAATTTCGACTATCCTGAGATTCCGCTATTATAACCTACAAACGAGGCTTTAATACCATGTGTCACGGACTTAGTTTTGTTTCCTCCAACAAACTAGAACCGTTCCGTCTTAATGTTTCACAAATTCCATCCCTACGAGATAACATTAAGTCAGCTTTTCAACACCAATGAGAATTTAACCTTTGAGGCTAAATTATGAATACTTTAAGTAGATGATTAAATTATAAGGAAAGGAACAAAACAATAGTTTAGGAGAATCTCATTGTATTAATGAAGAGAAAAACTTTATAATCTCTCAAAATTTATATCGCCTCACCCTATGGGATTTACAAATAAATCAACACATCTATTTATAAGCAAAGTCTTGCAAGACAAGTTGAAATCAATGACCAAAATTTAATGATCCAGGGCCATTATTGGTTGTAAGTTACATTTATACAAAGTTGCAAGCCTCATTTGTACAAGTGATAGTCAAATTGATATTTGCTTCCTAGCAAGTCTCTACAACTCTATGCAAGGTGATGTGTCATTTTCGTAGTTGTAGTTAAGTTGAACTTTGTTTTTTCATACAAGTTGCATAAGTTGGTGCCCACTTGCGTCCAAAATAACCAACTGCAATCCATTGTATTTATCCCCCTCAAAACAGTGATTTTTGAATTAGAAAAACCTAATTTATGTGCCTGCACAACCTGCTTGCGTGCATATAGGACACCATTAGTGCACTTTTCGATAATTTAACTTTGAACCCACAATAAGCAATCTTGTCGTGCCACATGGGTAAGGAAGTTCACTAGTCCGTGACTCAGGCTCAAGTCTGGAGCAACAAAAATGGGAGATCATGCGGACTTAGGTAGATCTTGTTCGAAGAAAGCCCGGAAACAAATGAAGAAATGGGCACATGTAAAACAGCGACCTTCGAAATTCAATATCAACAATCAAGTTCTTGTGAAAGTGGCGCTGCAACAATTCAAAGCTTATCAGAAAGTTCACAAAGGACTTGATTAGAAAATAGAAGGGACTGTTTCCAGTGGTGGCCAAGGTTGGAAGAGTTTCCTACATGCTTGATCTTCAAAGCACTTTGAAGATCCACCCAGTTTTCCATGTAAGTATGTTAAAGCTCTAAAGATCCGACTTGGAAGATCCGGAGAGAATGAGACACAATGGGTGCCTCCCATTGTTATCAAATCTTTCGAGAAGAATGTCAAAACTATTTTGGTCGATTTCCCCTTGCACTCAATATTTGATAAAATTGAAAGGGTTGCCCAAGTGTAAAGCTACTTAGAAGAATCAAGGATACCTATGACAATTTAAGTCTAAGGTTCGGTATTATACAAAAACGAGGGTGTCAGCCGATTCAGTGGAGGAGTGATTTACGTCATCCCTGGTCGCGACCGATCCGTCTAAGTAGTGGCCGTAGAACATCGCAGATAGGGTACTTCGGCAGGACGAAAACTACCCGCGATGGGGAACACAATCAGGCTGTGCGGGCACAGAAATTAGGTTTTTCTAAGTAAAAAATCAGTGTTTTGATGGAACCGTGAGCCCTAACTGGTTGTTTTAAACATTGGTAAGCGCCAACTTATGCAACTTGCATGAAAAAACAAAGTTCAACTTGATTACAACTAACTCAAATGAAAAAGCAAAATTCAATTTGAATACTACGAAAATGACATGTCAACTTGTATAGAGTTGTAGAGATTTGCAACTTGTAAGAAAGCAAATATCAATTTGGCTACCACTTGCACAAAGGAAGCTTGCAACTTGCATAGAGTGGCTTGCAACTTGCAACCAATAATGGCCCTTTAATATATTAAATCTTGGCCATTAATTTCAATTTGTCTTGCAAAACTTTGCCTATAAATAGATGTTTTAGTTCATTTGTAAATCCCATGGAGTGAAGTGAGATAAATCTTAAGAGATTATAAGTTTTTCTTTTCATTAATACAAGGAGATTCTTCAAACTATTGTCTTGTTCCATTTCTTATAATTCCATACTCTACCGAAAGTAACTATAATTTAGCCTCAAAGATTAAATTTTCCTAGGGGTTCAAAGGTCGACTTAACGTTATCTCGTGGGGACTAGATTTGAAAACGTTAAGGTCTCACAGTTCTAGTTTGCTAGAGGAAACAAAACTAAGTCCGTGACATTTTGCTCCTTTGTCACTATGAACTTAATACTCACGGTATATGAAGTGCTACTAGAACAACAACAATAATTTTCTACTTCAAGAACTTTAGCAACTGATAGTGAGCATGCTTTTTATCTAAATGTATAGCTGTAACCATATGTCACCAAGTTATAGAGGTTCCAAGATAGGATGACACATCGTCTTCTTTATTCATGTCTAAACCAGCAGCCCTAACCTTTAACAAACGATCATTTTAATGGAAAAATTCAAGATTTAATTAGTCGTTAGCTTTTTCAATCGATGCATGTCTTACACACCACTACATAAAATCTAGATGGACTCCCCTTGTTTCTCTTAGCTTGAAGGACTTGACACTTACATATTTATGACCTCAAATAATGTATGCATTAAGCAATTCGTCTTCAAATGATTGTCAAATTGCCATATTGCCTACCAAATCAATGAATAGAACAAAACATGCTCAAAGAAACATTTAAAAAATATACTTTACGTCTCTTAATAAGAAAAGACGATCAAGTTATCATACATAAAAAATCCTAAGAAAAGGCTTCTTCTTCTTTACACCATTGCTCTTCATGCTTCTAGATTAAATTGACAAAGAGGTGCAAACTTTAAAAACATTGTGAATTTTACTTTAAATATATGATATTCGCCGTGTGCTTCTATGGCACCAACCTAGATAATGCTTCGTTGAAGGATAATTGACTCCCTGAGGAGCAAACATGATTGAGGCAAAGGATGCAGCAACTGCTGGATGTTGTGCTGTCTCAATTATATGAGAAAACATGTCATCAACTTTGGTTGAATGATCTGCATAAACTTGCTTAAGTATTTCCTCGATACTTCTTGGATCACTAATTTTCAGCCATCTACAGTGAAAAGGAGAAAAGAAAAGATGATAATTTGGTAAGATATGGGGCAAAAAATAATAGATTTTGTGTGGTGATCAGTTGCTTTTATCTGCCAAAATCATCATTAAAGCCAGAAATAGGGGGAAAAGGGTGTGTCTCGGTGTGTTTGTGCGTGTTTGGGGGTGGGGGTTCCATAAGTCTCTTTCATATAGATAGATGTAGAAGATGAATTAAATCTTAACATCTAAAAACAAATACAAACAGGAAAAGGATTATTCTAGTGTTTGCCTCCTTTCCCAAAAGTGATAATTTATAGGAAGGACTTCATGCTCTGGCCTAATAAATGTATACAATCATAGAACTTACAGAACTTCTAATAACTTTCTGACACTGGAAGGAACAGGAAATGTTCCGGCCATTGGAAATAGTCTCGATAATTTTGGGGATCTTGCAGGATTAGGGAGAAATCCCCAGAAAGGTGTGGCGTTGAGCAAGGTTACACCCCTCACCAATTGAGGGTTGTATGCTGAAATAGAGTGAGACAGACCCTCCAAGCGAATTTCCCACAAGATAAACTGGTTCCCTACGACCTGAAACATTAGCAGAATATTGATTCATCTCTCCTCCAAACTGTATCAACAATTTTATCTGCAAAATATCCACAATATCCTACAGGCACAGTGGATGATAATTTGCCAGCCTTGAGATCACAACGCATGATGCTGATAACCGGCAGTTCAATATAATATTACTGCTAAGCTAGATAACACCAAGAGAGCTTGTGCCAGATGCAACTCAAAATACGGAAGCTAACAGCCATAAAATGATGCAAGTAACAATACAGGTAACCACTTACGTTAAAAATACCAAATTGATGAACAAAACAAAACATCCCTTCAAAACTTATGCTCTTATGACACCTTATTAAGTTGGAGGACCGTGCTAGGAACTTAAGTCTTCATTAATTTATATTCATTGGTTATGTTTCAGATTTTTGACACATCTTCTAGAGAAAGGGTCCATTACTTAACTTCATTGTGCAGAGGATGATTCATTGCAAACTTTTCCTTGGTGAATATCTCCTAACGAAGTTGTGGCGATTTCGTAATGAGGAAACCAATACACAAAATAGACACTTGTGCAAATTCAGAATATCAGTTAAAAGCATTGCAGTTTCGTGTGGAAGGTTCATCTTTTCGAAAACAAGGAGAATTAAAACTATTTCGAACATAAAATTGATGTTGCCTTGGGAGTTTTAGGATGAAAAGTTGAAAATCATTCATCACCAAAGTATTGTCCTATCACCTTCAAAAGTAAAATACACATCCATTCCAAGTCTCTTCAGAGAACAACCACTATCATTTCAACTTTCAAAATTGTAGGTGCCATGATAAAAAGGACATGATTATAGGAGCAAGATTTGCCCCAATATACATGCAGGAAACAAATAAAATGAAGGTATTCGAAGAACAAAAAACTGTGGGTACAAACACGATAAGACGAAGTTTTAGTGTACATCTTCTACAAAAAAAGGCACTTGATCCCTCCACAAGTCAACAGAATAAACAAGTTCTGCCCAAGTTTCAGTTTCAGTTTTATCACCAAAACCCCAAACATAATTTTCTCCATCTAATATAGATCCATTTCCATCTTTACGCCGCAAAGGTGGATCTTTAGATGGCAATGACATGCTCTGACCAAGAAAATCAAGCGCCCATACTCTAAAATCGCGTCCAAGGTCCTTTAGCTGCTTTTCATAATGAAACGATCCCTAGCCAAATCCAGAAGAAAAAGGACTGACGGGGAATCTAGATTTTCAGACCCTGAGTTTTCATCATGGACATTGCATTTCGGCTTCCACTCCCAAACACAACTGCCAACGGAAGCTACAGAATCTCCATTGGAATCATCTGGCAAACCCAGAATCAAAACCCTAGGTACTGACCTACCACGACCAGTCAAACTAATCATATCCTCTTCCCCATCAAGTAAAAAGAGTTATATTTTAAGATTGAATTAATATAAAAATTTCCTTTTACAATGGAAAGCTTGGAACGACGCGAATTTAAGTCCTCTGTACCACCAAAATTTACCACATGAGAGCAGTGAGCAGAATGGCAGGATATAATTTCCATTCTCAGGAGTAGATTTCTGAAAGAAGTAATCATATGAAGAAGTTAGAAATGACTAGTGATTATCAACCTCACATTGCAGAGAGTTTACTTTACCCCTAATATTTGCAGTTATATATTTGTTCTTTTTATTTCCTTCGGCTGTTCAGTTAAAAATCAATTTATCGAACCCAATTAAGTTGACACTTTTATTAGGAAGCAAAACTACTTTAGTACTGTCAGTTTATTGCCCATGCAACAACAGGAATAAGAAAGATCAACAGACCGAGAGAACCGTGCCTGCAGGTAGCTTAGCAATGGACTTTTTCTAAAGAGGCTGGATACACTGTAGACTAGCTAGCAACAGAACAACGCTTAACTCAATGCACATAGATTACAAGCTGTGATGATAATTATCAACTTACCTCTTCACAACAAGGCTTATAAATAGGCTCAAGCAGTGCAGAATCAGTAAGGGCTCAACCCATCTAATGCACGTTCAAGATCAGTTTGAGAGTTCTAATGAGTGGAGCTTGAAACATTTCTAGTCTCACAAACTTGTCCAGCTTGACTTGAGTTCGACTCATTTACTAAATACAGTGTAAAGTACCTAACCAACTAGAACATTTTGCATAGACGGTTGGATATAGGCTCCTTCAAACTCAGTTGGAAAAAAAATAAAAATAAAAATGTTGCTCGAGAAATCTTGAAAATTCATTTATCAATCAAACCAAGCTAGAACACCACAAAGCTCAGTCATCGAATGTAAGGGCATCCCCACCCTCTCCAGCCCCTTCCCCCATCCTTTCTCACAGTTCAGTAAAGAACAAATTTCCAGTCACTTGGGACAAGGAAAACAAGCCTTCTTCTTCATAAAAAAATTAAAAAAAGTCAACTAGCTAGCATCCAATTGGTTCATTTGCTAATAATTATATGTTTTGATATAAATTACGAATCTTTAATAAAAAAAACCTTCAGATAAAATGGATCTTCGCTTCTTTTTTTACATGGGACAATTCACATTTCGCTAGACCACTTTTTCGTACATCTTCTCAGACAAAATTCAAGATTTAGCGCCAAAAATAAAATAAAATAAATGTGTAGGACTTAGAAGTAGCTGAAAAGACTAATTCAGCTAAGATTTATTTACAGAAATCATTTGCCCTTACAGCCATTAAGTTATTTTTCCCACCAAATTAAATCAAAATCGAGTGGTATGACCAAGAACTCTAGAACCATATAACAATTAGTCAATTACCACGAAGATTGATTCACTAAAATAACACAGAAAAAAATCACAAAACATATATTACCTCGGATTAAAATTCAAGATTTCATTGAATGAACTCCCAGGCTTTTTTTGAGGGTGGAGGTGGGTGGGTAGGGTGGTTCCATGGGATGGGTGTAATCGCTAGTTTTCAATTTGTGTAAAAATTTTCTTGGGGTGGGGGTAGGGTGAGGTGGGAGTGAATATGTAGATTAAATTAAATTAAATTTTATATTATTATTTACCACGATATTTTAGGGAATTTGTTAGTAATGAAGTGTGGTTCCTATACGTATGAGTCATGTATTGTTTTCTTAAGAAAAATTATATATGGGTCAAGCCCTTATTTTGCTCAAAGATAGGGGCTGTTCTCTTTGTATTTCAATTTTGCATTTTGAGTTTTGAAATCATTTTGTATTTTGTGTTTTGAGAGTCCATTTTAAAATTTTTGAAAACGCGTTCTTTTTGGCATTTTGTAAAACTATTCCTCAAAATCATTTTCTCAAAACACGTTCACATGGGTTTTTGTTTTCCATTCTCCAGCCAGAAATCGCCCCACGCCTCCACCAGCGCCACAGCCTTCTACCTCACAAACCGACCACAACCCACCACCTAGACCACCAAATCCCAGCATCATTCCAACCCCCCGACCTCCCTCTACAACATCCACAGATTAATTGACCATAAATCAGCTGAAATCAGTCGAAATCGCTGCGCTACCACTCGCGGTTTCGGCTAATAAACACCGCCGCCGACCACATTTCCGATCGCGGACCACCACTAATCCACTCCTCTCAACAAGGCGCATCCAATACTACCATGGGTCACCTTCGATTGGCTCCAGAACTGGCTGATTCCTGCAGAAGCCAGGTGTGCTGAATCAGTTTTTTAGGTTTTTTTTCCTTCGATTTTGTTGTATGATTGATTGTTGTTTGTGTTGTAATTGAAGAGGGGATTGAGGGCTTCACAGTGGTTTATTAATCCTGCCATTTTGGAGGAGGTTGGTCGGAGTTTGGGGGGTTTGAAAGTGGCGGTAGAGTGTGGTTGCAGCAGAAAGGAGGAAGGGGTTTGTTCTGTGTTGCAGCAGAAAGGAGGAAATCGTTTTGGGCATTTCCTGTGTTTTCCATTTTCAGCTACATTTGTGAAGAAAACGTGGAAAACGGCTTTTTGGCCGTTTGCGATTTTCTTCACAATTTTTTTTTCCGTTTTCGAAAATTCATTTTCGAAAATGACGAAGAGAACGCGTTTTCGCAGTTTTGAAAAATCAAAAACAGAAAACGGCTTGAAAACGGCAAAGAGAACGCCACCTAAGATATTGAGGCCAGTCGCTCTAGACTTGAGATGTAGATAAAAAAAAGAGGAAATTACAGCTACCCCTACTTTTAGATTACCATTTTCATAAATAAGACAAGAAGTCTAACTTCAAAATTCAGGTTATGATTAAATAATTTAATATTAATAATTATTTTCAAATTCAATTTAATCATTTTGCATTCCTCACCATACTCTCATTCCTCACCGTTCTCTCTCTCTCTCTCTCTCTCTGCCTTCAACGTGCCGTCGCCGTCTTCTACCTTTTCCTTGCCGACGACTCGGGGCTTGAAGCGGCGGACGGTGGCGCTCGAAGATCCAGTCGGTATTTCCCTAGGGTTTCTTAGATCCGCCATCTCCAACCTCTCTCCTCCCACCGCCCCTCTCCATCTCCCTCTTTCTCTTTTCGTTGCACCCACCCCCTGATCTGGCAGCAGTCATTCAGCGGCGGCAAGGCGAGCGGAACAGTAGCCCAGTGATCCACTGCTGTGAGTCGTCTGCTGCGATTTGAACTTTACGGAGCTGCTCGCGATCTGCTCCGCTCACAGTGCAGTTTTCTTCCCTTTTTTTTTTTAGTTTTTGAGTGGTGTGGTGATGTGCTTTGTGGTGCTGGAGATGCGGTGGTGGTGCGGTGAGTGGTGTGCTACTATGTGCGGTGGAGGTGGTGGTGTGAGTTGTTGTGCGCGGTAGTGGTATGGTGCGGTGGAGGTGCAGTAGTTTTTTTACGGCGATGCTGTGTCGTAGCGGTGGCGGTGAGGTGAAGGTCTGATGTGAATTTTTGGGTATTTTCAGCTGGTAGATGGGAGCTGATTTGAGGCAGGTTGTGTTTTGAGATGTTAACGTTGCTATTGGGCGGCGACGGTGGTGGTGCCGTTGGCAGAGGCAGTGGCGAAGTGGTGGTTACAACTGATTTTGGTGGTGGTCACAAATGATTTTGGTTGTTTGTGACTAATAATTTGGTTAGTTTGTGACCAGTAAAAAATATGTGACCAATGAATTCAATAAATTGCGACCACTGAGTGCTTTGTGACCTAAAAATTATTAATTTGT